TTCTTGGAAGGATTTTAAGAAAACTCTGAAACGTAAAAAGGAACATCTTATTTTAGAGGAATTGGCTCAACACCTTCGATTTGAGGAAGAGTCAAGGTTACTTGAAAGTAAAGATAACCAATTGGCTCAGACGTCTAAGATCCACATGGTGGATGATGGTAAGGGGTTCAACAAAAAGAAGCGTAAGCATGAACCCCAACTCGAGAAAAATGCTAAGAAGCCGAAAGGTGCTTGTTAGCACTGTGGCAAGCCAGGGCACTTCAAAAATGAATGCTGATCATACAAGAAGAAGCTAGAAGCATCAAATGCCAAGAACAAGTTCGTGGCTGTTGTATCCGAGGTGAACATGCTCGAAGATGCTGGTGACTGGTGGATTAATTTAGGAGCAACAAGGCATGTCTGCAACAACAAAAGCCGTTTCACTACTTATGAACAAGTAAGTGATGGAACAGTTCTCTACATCGGCAACTCTTTAACTGCTGCTATCAAAGCCAAAGGGATGGTAGATCTAGAGTTTACATCTGGAAAGGTCTTAAGTCTTAATGATGTTTATCATGTACCCGATGTCAGGAAAAAGCTTGTATTTGGAAGCCTGCTTAATAAGCATGGTTTCAAGTTAGTATTTGAGTCGAACAAATTTGTCCTGTCTAAGGGTGGAATTTTTGTTGGGAAGGGCTACATGTATCAGGGAATGTTCAAACTCAACATTATCAAAAATATATCTATTTCTGCTTATATTGTTGATTCTCTTTGTTTATGGCATGCTTGTTTAGGTCATGTTAATACTAGGAAAATGCATGATATGGTTAATTTAGATTTAATTCTTAAGTATAATATTGATATGTTTGAAAAATACAAATTTTGTGTACAATCTAAAATTACTCGCATTTCATTTCCTAGAGTAGATAAGACCACATCTATGCTTGAACTTGTGCATAGTGATGTAAGTGACGTGCATAGTACCCCCACTAGAGGTGGTAAGAAATATTTTGTAACATTTATTGATAATTTTTCTAAGTATTGTCATATCTATCTTTTGCATTCAAAAGATGAGGTGCTTGATAAATTCAAGTTTTTAAGACAGAAGTAGAATATCAGTGTAATGTCAAAATAAAGAGACTTAGGTCTGATAGAGGAGATGAATACTATTTTCCATAATATTGTGAAAATGTTGGTATTATTCATGAGAAGTCTGTACCCTACACACCACAACAAAATGGAGTAGCTGAAAGAAAGAATAAGACATTAAAAGAAATGATTAATGCAATGCTTTCTTACTCCAGTTTAAGTTTTGATTTTTGGGTGAAGCCTTGCTCACTGCCTGTCACATACTCAATAGAATTCTTCTCAAGGAAAGAAATGTTACTCCTTATGAACTTTGGAAAAACACGAAACCTAATCTTGGTTACTTGAAATCATGGGGTCGTAGAGCAATAGTCAGATTGCCTGAACCTAAAAAAAAGAAATTAGGTGAAAATGGAATTGAATGCATATTCATTGGCTATGTTATACTTAGCAAAGCATATAGGTTTCTGGTAGTAGAGCCCAATGGTTTAGTGGAAACAAATACCATCATTGAATCACGTGATGCGGTATTTTATGAGAATCGTTTCACAACCATTCCAAGGTTGGATTCTAATCAAGAAAATGAATAAACTCCTTTGATGTCTATAGAAGAAAGTGAACGACATGAACCCATTGAGCCTAATGAACCTAATGAGCCTATTGAACTAAGGAGGAGTGAGAGGGCTAGGATTGAGAAGTCATTTGGCCCTGATTTCGTTATTTACCTTGTAGAAGGAACTAGGAAAGCTTATTGTAAGCAAACAATGATTTCTTTAAATATGGATTCAGATCCATTAACCTTTGAAGAGGCTATGAAGTCTCAACATGTTGCTTTATGGAAAGAAGCAATAAACGATGAAATGGATTCTATCATGGGTAACAATACCTGGATACTTGCTAATTTGCCAAATGGATCCAAACCAATTGGTTGTAAATGGATTTTCAAAAGGCAAATGAAAGTTGATGGTACAATTGACAAGTTCAAAGCAAGATTAGTTACTAAGGGTTTTACTCAAAAGGAGGGTATCGATTATTTTGATACATATGCTCCGGTGGCTAGAATCGTCACCATTCGAGTGTTGATTGCCTTAGCCTCAATCTATGAGCTTGAAATCCATCAAATGGATGTTAAGACCGTTTTCCTAAATGGAGAGTTAGATGAAGAAATCTACATGCAACAACCGAAAGGATTTGTTGTAGAGGGGCAAGAACACAAAGTGTGTAAACTTGTCAAGTCACTATATGGACTGAAACAAGCTCCAAAACAGTGGCATAAGAAATTTGACAAAGTAATAGTGTCAAATGGTTTTAGGATACCTGAATCTGATAAGTGTGTGTACAGTAAGTTTATTGGCAATAGAGGTATAATCATATGCCTATATGTAGATAAAATGCTTATTTTTTGTACTGACAATGATGTCATTAAAAGTACTAAAAGTTTCTTGTCGTCTGGTATGAAAGACATGGGCTTGGCTGATATAATTCTGGGTATTAAGATCAAATGAGAGGACAATAATTTGATTCTAACCCAGTCGCACTATATTGAGAAAATTCTTAAGAAATCTAATCAATATAATTGTACACCCATGTCTACACCTTTTGATTCAAATTTGAAATTGTATCCTAATATTGGAAGAGTTGTTGATCAGCTAGAATACTCAAGAGTAATACGTAGCTTGATGTATTCCAAGACTTACACTAGACTTGATATTGCATTTGCAGTGGGAAAACTTAGTAGATACATTAGTAACCCCAGTAGTGTGCATTGGCATGCTATTAACTGAGTACTTAGGTACTTGAGGAAAACAATAGACTATGGAATAGTCTATAATGGCTATCCAGCAGTGCTGGAAGGATTCACGGATGCTAGTTGGATAACTGACCGTGAAGATCACTCATCCACGAGTGGTTGGATTTTTACTCTTGGATGAGGAGCTATCTCCTGGGATTCTAAGAAACAAATATGCATAACAGACTCAACCATGGCGTCAGAGTTTGTAGCATTGGCTTCTTGTAGCAAAGAGGCAGAGTGGCTAAGAAATCTCTTATTAGAGATTAAGATATGGCCAAAACCTATACCACCAATATCTTTGCATTGTGATAGTGAAGCGACTCTATCACGGGCCTATAGCCATGTCTATAATGGAAAGTTCAGGCATACAGGACTGAGACATAGCTGTGTTAGGCAGTTAATCACAAATGGTGTGATTACCATTAGTTATGTAAAGTCAAGTGAAAACTTGGCTAATCCCTCCTGGTGGAAACTCGACTCAACGCTTGAAGAAACATCAAGTCTTGAGTTTAATGAGCCCATGTACACCATATGTCATGATTGCAAGCACTTAGTTTTATTTCATTTTCATCCCTAGGTTGAAGTGTTTGGTACCTGTAATGTGAAAAGAAGAAGATGAGTTAGCAAACTCTTAACAAGTTTACAACTGAATTGTTATGGTACTGTAAATTACAGGGTATTCTTAGTAAGCTTACCGATGTGAGTGTAGGAGGTGGTGCTGTTTTCTATGAGTCCAAAGGCTTGACTCTAGAGCGCTCATGAAATAGGATATAGACACAAGGCAAATCCACGTGTCGGTTTGTTTGTATACTTAAGGTAACTTGTACTGTGCGTGAGACATGTCCGGTTAGTCGTGTAAGATCGTTAGTTCAAAGACAAGTCTACTATGCCATCTTGACTAACTTTGAGATGTCTTCACTAAGTGAATGATTCAAATCGTAAGATATCTTCGCCTATGCATAATTCTGCCAAGTGAACCAAGAGTCATCATTTGATATTTTGAAAATGGTGGGTGAATGTTGGGGAATTTCAAAATGGTTTTTAAAATGTATAGTTTAATTTTTGGGTGTTTTCAAAACTTCCTTGTTTTTCTTTGGAAAGCTTGAAATAAGCTTGGGAACTTTGTCCCACATCGGAAAGAGAGGAAAACATAGAGCACTTAATAAAGTGCTACATGGAATATTCTTTTGAATATGGAATTGTGAGGTAAAAGCTAGTATGCATGCACACACACTGCAAGGATGGTGCTTCGCACCATCCGTACCCGCACATGCACACACGTGCGCGCGTGGCATGGGCAGTGGGCTGTGTGACGTTTAATGCCGCACTTTGAACTTAGTACGGATGCATCGGCGCAAAGCACCATGAGGGCACTTTCCTATTTGCATTGGACAGCCGATCGTGATCAGGTGTGATTAGTCAAGGCATCTATTCGATGTGAGAGTGATCTGCATCGTAGATCGTCGATCCAACGATCAGATCTGATCAAACGCGATCAAGGGACATGATCATTCGATCATGTGCATCAAGGCCTATAAATAGGCTACGAAATCAGCCGTTTCATTCCATTCAAAAATTTAGAATTCATTCGTGCAATTCTCTCTCTCTCTCCCTCTTGATTTAGAGTTTTCAATCAAGAGTTTCTTAAGCAAATTTATACTTTTCTTGCTGGTAATCAGGTTCTACAAATTTGATTATCAGTGTCTTGGTTTTCTTGATTATATCAAGATTATTTTGATCTACTATCGTCAGTGCAGACGCCGGTAGATTTGATCTTTAGATCAGGCTTAATTGTATCCGGGAGGCAAATTTGCTGTAACACTCTACATACTTTTTGGTGGGTGCAAATATCGTCTTTAGGAAAGCAACTTAGTAACGCGACTTGAAGCACCATATTTCTGTTCTACATAGACAAGATCATCGCCAAGTTTTGAAGACCCAAAGACCACTAATTGAAGAGTTCAAGACAATTTGTTCCAACAAATACTTGAATATAATCTACTATGATATCAATACATATAGTATCTTCTTTATTCAAAACAAAAAATTGATAAATTGTGTCCTCGTATTAGATTATGAATTTATAGTTTGTGTTCAAGCATGATCATGTAGAAATTGGAAAAGAAGCTTGACCTGTATTAACTTGTGGCAGAATATCCTTAGGAGGCATCCTGTACTATTACTATTAGCATGCTTAATCTGCTCATGCATCTTTTCGAGTAGATTACTGTATGTTATTGTAGGGTTTTGCCTAATTATTTGATCGAAAATGTAAGTCATGGCGCCAGTCATTTCGTTTCTTGAGAAAGCCTGCATAGTTCAAGAAAATATGGATGAACAAGAATTCACGTAAAGATGAGAGTAATGGCAAGTTAGGAATGTTAATATAGTAAGACAATGTGGTTTACAATGCCAACAAAAAAATAAATCTAGCTCGCCATTTTTTGGCTTTTTTCCCATTACATTTACTGAAAAGAAAATGATTTTTGTCACTGAGTAAATTTCATTGGTTTTTATTGTGTGGATCGATTTGGTAAATTTCATTAGAAAATGAACTCTTACAGTTGTATCGGCAGCAATTTGATCATCACCACAGGCACTCAAAGAGATAGCTAGTCCACCATCTGTACTTTTCCTTACACCTGAAGTAGGTTTGTTATCTACCCACCATTTCCTTTTGAAATCCAATGTCAAAAACAAAAACAAAACAAAACCAAAAAAAAGAGAGAAGATGTTACTATGGCCCCGTTTGGTGTAGCTGTTAAAACAGGTTATAGATTATAACTTAATATATTATAGATTATGACTTTAATCAAAAGTTGTTAATTTGTTTGGTGTAGTTGTTGAATTATAGATTTAAGTTGCTGAGTAATGTTTGTTAAATAAGCTATGAAGTAAGTTTTTCAATTAACTTTTATTTTTTGTTATTCACTATTTGTCTACATTTCTCATAAATAATAATAATAATAATAATCTATAGTCTATTTGGGTCTTTTTCTATTTCTAAAAAAATAATATATATATATATATATATATATAAGAGTATAACAGTAAATTAGCATGTTCACTGCAAAAGCTGATAAGCAGAAGCAAGGGGTGAACAACTTCTCAGAATCAGCTTTTTTGAGTTAAAATAAGTTGTTAGAATCAGAAACTGTTTGAAAGAAGTTTAACCAAACAGTCCAAAATAGCTTTTCCAAAACTAGAAGCTATAAGTTGGCTCAAAAAAGCCCAAACAAACACCCCCTATAAACGATTGTTGCAAATATCTCAAGTTCATATCTAATAGGTAGAATGTTGAATATACATATGACCTTGTTTAAGATTTCAATTTCAAATTTTCAAATACAATTGTGTATGTTCTAGTGAGAAATATCATTTTACAACTTTGGTAGTTAAATTTGTGTGTGAAACATAATGGTGTAAGATTTCTGAATAAGAACTGCATATTCAATTGTGTCATATTTACAAAGAGTTCAACAACTTATATAACTCTAAACCTATGACTGAAAAAGGAAATACAACCAATTCAAATATTTACACCACAATCTTTCCTAATTCATAATATACACAATTATGCCAAATTGAGAATATACACAATATATTCTCACACTCTCGTTCAAAGTCAATGTGTTTTAGCAGAAAACACAGAGAGTTTGCTAAGAAGAAATTAAAATCGAGCAATAATGTGAGTCTTGGTAAAGAAGTCCACAAATTGCAAAGCCGAAGAAAGAAAAGGAAGCGAGATAGGGCTAGACTACAGATGTTGTCGGACAAAGTGACAATCAATCTCAATGTGTTTCGTCCGTTCATGGAAGACTATATTGTGGGCAATTTGAATAGTACTGCGGTTGTCACAATAGAGGGAGGTTGGAGAAGACTGAGGGACACCTAAATCAGATAAGAGACAATGAAGCCAAACAATCTCAGCAGTAGCATGAGCCATAGCATGATACTCAACTTCGGCAGTAGAGTGAGTAACAACAGTTTGTTTCTTACTTTTCCAAGAGATCAAGGAATCACCAAGAAACATATAGAAACCAAACGTGGACTTGCGATCAGTAACATTACCAGCCCAATTAGAATCAGTATAGGCCACCAAATCCAGAGAGGAAGTAAAGGACAATAGTAAACCCTGAAATATAGTACCTCAGAGATAGCGGAGAATTCGAACCAACGCAGCCCAATGTGTGGAGCGAGGAACAGAGACAAACTGGTTAACCACATGAACAACATAGACAAGATCAAGACGAGTAACCGTCAAATAGACTAAGCAACCCACGAGTTCTCAATATAAAATAGGATCATCTAGAAGAACACTATCAGTAGTGTTGAGCTTTACATTAAGCTCAATTGGGGTATCAGAAATCTTAGTGTCAGTAAGACCGACACGATGAATAACCTCATTGGCATACTTGGCCTAAGATGGAAAGTAACTCTTGGGAGAAGAAGCTACCTCAATACCAAGAAAATATCGCAATGGGCCCAGATCCTTCATTTCAAAGGTGTGGAAAAAATGCTGCTTGACCTCAGATATAGCAGAAGAGTCAGAACTGGTGATAATCATATCATCCACGTACAGTAATAATGCAACAAATCCAGCAGAGGTGTGGAGAAGAAATAAAGCAGAATCCTGGGCACAAGAATGAAACCCAAGCTCAATAACAACAGTTTGAAAGGGATCATATCAAGCACAAAGAGACTACTTCAGACCATACAGAGCACATTGAATGTGACAAACCTATCCAAAGGAATGGTGAAGGCTAGGGGGAGAACGCATGTGAACCTCCTCAGTGAGATGACCATTAAGAAAAGCATTCTTAATATCCATCTGATAAAGAGGTCAAGAACGAACAGTATCAACAAAGATCAAAGTACGAATAGTAGTCATCTTGGCAACAAGAGCAAATGTCTCCTCATAATCAATACCATACTCCTGTGAGAAACCTTTGGCAACCAAACGAGCTTTGTAGCGCTCATGAGAACCATCAGAAATGAGTCTTGACTTTGTAGACCTATTTGCAACCAACTAAATTATTACCAACAGGAAAAGGAACCAACTTCCAAGTACTAGTTTTCTATAAAGCAGACAACTCATCCTCAATAGTTTGAACCCAATGAGGATTCTAACAGGCCTCCTTGTAAGACTGAGGTTCTGAAAAAGAGTGAATAACAGACAAAAAAGTATGATAGGAAGCAAAAAAATATGTATTAGACCAACCCAACTAGTTTAGAGGATGACGCGCTTGAGTAGAATATCGGTATGTAGCAGGATCAAAGTCGTTAGAAACAGGAGGATCAGCAGCAGGGGTAGAGATAACTAGTGGAAGAGAAGCCTTGCGATGAGAATAAACTAACAATGGAGGAGGAGAAGAAGAAACTGAAGAAGGAGAAATAGGAGGAGAAGAAGGAATAAGCTCAGGAGGAACTATGAAGATGTACTCATCAGAAGGGACCTCAGAAAGAAACGGATCAATATGAACCAAATCCTCTTTAGAAACTGGGGCGGTGAGAGGAGGAAGCTGAAAGTAAGATAGACGTTTGAGAAAGGCAACATGGCGGAAGACATAAAGGCAACGGGAAACAGGGTCATAATAGCGATAACCTTTTTGAGTGAGACCATAACCCAAAAAGACACATATGACAAACCGGGCACTAAGTTTGGTCCTATCTTTACAAGATAAAAGGATAAAACAAGCAGACGCAAACATACGAAGGAGGGAGTAATTAATAAGTTGAGAAAACAGAGCCTCATAAGGAGATCGACCAGAAAGAAGGAAGGTAAGCATACGATTGAGAAGAAAAGCAGCAGTAAGAACTGTCTCACCTCAAAACGGAGCCGAAATAGAGGCAGAGAGAATGAGAGACCTAGCTATCTCAAGGAGATGACGATGTTTACGCTCAGCTCAACCATTTTGGGCAGGTGTATCAGTACAAGAAGTTTGGTGAATGGTACCCAATTTGGCCAAATATTCACATAATTCAGTTTTAAAGTATTCCCCACCCAAGTCAGGCCACAACAATTTAATAGTAGACTTAAACTGTGCAGTGACCATAGACTGGAAAGTACAGTATATTTAGTAGAAGCCAGACTTATGAGTCATAAGATAAACCCAAGTATAACAAGTGCAGTCATCAACAAATGACACATAATATGTTGAACCCCTTTGGAGAGAACATGAGAAGAACCCCAAACAACAGTATGAACTAAAGAAAATGGTGTATCAAATATAAAAGTACTTTTATGGAAAGGTAAGGCTATCATTTTGGCAAGTTTATACCTTCGATATTTAGTAAGTTCACTAGAAGAAACTTTATCCAATATACCAGACTGAGCTAAAAATCGTAAGCGATTAGCAGACAAATGCCCTTAATTAAAATGCCACAAGTAAAAAGGATTAGACAGAGAATCTAATTGAAAAAGAGGAAAAGGTAGTTAGAGAGGTTTTCATAGGCAGATGTAAGATCTCCACCACATAGAGGTCTCTAACTCTACGGCTGGTCCCAATCTGTTACTTAGACATCTGATCCTGCACATAACAGATAGAAGAAGAAAAGATAACATCAAAACTAGAGGCATCAAACTGACTGATAGATAATAAATTGACTGATAACTGAGGAACATAAATGACAGAAGGAATAGAGACAATAAACATAACATACGGTAGGATAAACCCAATAGATATAACAGACATACTAGATCCATTCGCAGCATTGACAGAAATAGGAAAGGAAGGAAGAGTACAATTTTGAAGGAGAGATGGAGAGTCAAATGATAAGAGGCACCAGAGTAAAAATTCTAAACAGACGAAGAAATACCTAAAAAAGACCCAAGCAAACTTGAATGAAGAGAGGAAACAATGGAGGCAGACGGAGATGGCTGAGAGGTAGACAATATATGCTGAATTTGACTAATCTGAGTAGTCAAGGAAGCCAAGTCAGGATCAGGAGCCGGAGCAGATGCAATAGAACCGGCGGGCGGCTGAATGGTACTCAAAGGAGGAGCACAAAACTTGATCGGAAATAGCTGAGAAGACAAGATAGACACAGGCGAAGCAGACAAACATCCCTTCTTGGGACAATGATACTTCCAATGACCCCTTTGATGGCAGAAGGCACACTCATTAAAAGCTAGAGACATTGTAATAACCAGAAAATTGAAAGGTTTAAGTGTAATAAACCCAAAATAAAACAAAATAGCCAAACCAGGGGTTCAAGTGTAAAAACCAAAAAATCTGAGGGGTCAAACTATAATAAATCAAATAGAATGATATCAGATGGTCAAATATGACCAAAGCATTACTAGAAAAAGAGAGATTGAAGCCGAGATGAACCAAGAGAGGTCGAAGCATCGTCGAAGAGAGATGAACTAGAAACCGAAGTCCAAAGTCGAAGACTTGGAACCGAAATTGAAGAGAGAACTACGAACGACAATAGCGAAGAAAAATAGTGGAGGCAGTCGTGAGATAAAGGCAGTCGGGTTACGAGGCTGCGTTTGTGTGTTACGACCTAAGGGAAGTTGCAATCAAGAGAGAACCACAAACGATAGTCGCTGAAGCGTTCAGTCAAACCAGACAAACACAGAGAAGAAGAAATCGACTCAGAGACTTCTAGGGTTTTGGCTCAGAGATGGCTCTGATACCATGTAAGATTTCTAAATAAGAACTGTATATTCAGTTGTGTCATATTTGCAAAGAGTTCAGCAGTTTATATAACCCTAAACCTATGAAGCACGGGTACTCCAAAAATAGTGTCGTACGAGTACCGGGTACTTACCGGGTGCGGGTACGCGTACCGGTACGGCGGTACGCGTACCGGGTACGGCAAAAGAGGGTCCGGTACGTTTGGCTTATTCGGGTACGGCATGGGTACGCCACGGGTACGGCATGGGTACGGCGTGGGTACGCCATGGGTACGCCAAGGCCATTTTTTTTTTTTTTTTTTTCTGCCCTTGCAAATTAGCAATTATTATTATTATTTTTTATTTTTTTTGGTACCCTTGCAGATCAGTAATTTTGATGTTTCTCTGTTGTCCTGTTTGTCTGTATAAATTGTAGAAGCATATCAACAAATGATTTTAATGTTTTTAAAAAGCAATTTGAACCAAAAAAAATAACAAGGCCTATAAAGGGTAGTTCTGTGTATGACTATGCATTATGCTTTTGCTTTAGATCCTCCTAGAATTTCTTTATAAAATCTTTAATCATAACAAACTTTTAAAGTTTATGCACAAAACATTAAAAATTGATACTGTATTAGTTGATTAGTAGTTGTTGGGAATGATGCAATTTTATGTATTATGCAAATTGCAATTGACAACCTGCACCAATTGAGAATTTTTTTCCTTTATTGTTGGTAATTAACTTTAAATCTTTCTTTGGTCTCCTGTTATTTCTTTGGTCTCACCCTATAAAAATAGCAAATTGATGAGCAAAAAGAAAGATTTTAAAAATAAATTATGATCACAAATTCACAGTGCATAACATATCAAAGTGAGAGATTTCACAAATATTATTTTTAACGCTTAATGGTTTTAAATTATAGGAAAATGAGTAGTTCTTTTTTTAGTTTTGATATTTAATTTTAATTTGTAGGTTGGATCCTTTAATCAAAATTATATTTAAAAAAAAATAAAAAAATATTGGCGTACTGTAGCCGTACCCGTATCGTACTTTTTTTGAGTTTTGCCGAATCGGCGTACCCGCACTCGTACCCGTACCGTACTCGTACCCGCACCCGTGCTTCCTTGCCCTAAACCTATGACTGAAAAAGGAAATACAACCAATTCAAATATTTACACCAAAATCTTTCCTAATTCCTAATATACACAATAATTCCTAATATAAACAATCATGCCAAATTGAGAATATACACAACATATTCTCTCAAATGGACCAATGAAAAATGCAAATGCCTTTTACTGATTTTGTTAGATCACTAGTTGTGTATGAGTGGTGGGTGTAGATGCATGTCCAAACTTCAACCCTTCCTAAACCTAAATCCTTTGATATTGGGATATGTATCTAGAAGTTAAATATAGGTATAGGGAGATGCCTTGAACACTGATATATATATATATATATATGTTACTTAATTGTATAATATTCTTAGAAAATGTGATGTAAATTATTTAGAAATGCTTGAAATTAAATAGAATTTAGGGGAAATATAAAATTTGTATCTTCTACCCATATGAGAGACTAGAAATATTTTTTTCCTTACATATGTGAACTTTTCTTCAAACATCATATAAACGTAGAGGGTTAGTGTGTCTAAATAAGCATCAGAACATATCTCACACCCTTATTCTTATCATATCTGATGGACATGGGTACTTGGGGAAAAATAAAAGAGAGAACCAGACTGAACTAAAATTTTTCCACCAACACAGACCGAGAACCTCCTCAAACTAGAGCTCTGTCATCTTAAATTGTTAACTACTAACTCATCTAAAAACTTTGTAAATTGGTGATCTAACAAATTGTTATTAAACACTTACTGTTTTCTGTCGTAAACATGCTCTAGATCAAGGATGGTTCCGCTGTGACAGGCATCGATAATGGCATGAAGCTTGACACCTTCCTTGAGAGGCTTGACAATGGTATTATTGATATCATTATCAAGGATCATTCCAGCAGTCATGAAATCAGAAGGACAGATAGTTTCATCGTAGTCATCGTTCTCATCCATATCAAAATCAGGTTGTCGTAAACCATGTCCAGAGAAGTAGAACACCAAGGAGTCCCCTGACTTGCAGTCGGCCACAAGCCATCTCAAGGCCTTCTGCATGTTCTCCTTTGTTGGAATAAGGTTTGGGTCATCCTCCTCTTCTGCAATTTGCTCAAATTTAAATAATTAATAGATCATCCGTAAAAGAAAACATAAACATAAGACTTAAAACTTAAGAGTGGGATTTTTTTTTCTTATATTAAATTAATGTTTTTGATAATTTTAATTATCTGTGAATGTAATATTAATTTACGTAGTAAATAAAAAATATATAATATATATATTTTTTTATCACAGTGTCAATGCTTCTGAGAAGCAAACTTATGGATGTTTTTGCTTTCTCTTTTCAACTATTGTCTGAAAGCCCATACCAAAGTTCTTACAATTAGATTTAAATATTTTTATACCTTTCATTCGATTTTTGGGAGATCGATAAAAGAGTTGTTCCTGACACCTCTGAATTGCGAGTGCATGCTTATAGAGAAGTGCCATAACATGTTGAAGCAACTCACTAACTCAGAAGGGCGCAATCTACTCTCAAGACAGTGAATGCACGCCCCTGTCGATGAGTTTTCTTTGACTTTGTATTGTTTAATTTTATAATTGCAATGAATTTTTTAAATACTGTATTCTAAATTTGTGATTAATTTTAGTATATTAAAAATTCTAATTTTCACAACAGACACTAATGATCAGTTTGTGATGTATGTACAATGCTATACCATGCAACAAAGGATCCAAGACATACGAACAGAATTCTTCATGAAGCACACAGTAGGAATCTTAGAATATTAACAGATGTTGCTAGGAACAAAAAGAAGATTCTGCACCAAAGCATTGTGACATAGTTCTGGTTAATAGATTTAGAATCAGTGTGCAAATTTCAAGTTTCTTGTTTTATTCTCCACAAGTTTTAAATCACTCAAAAGCATGATATAGCAAAATTGTCACATATTTATATGAAGCCAATGCAGGTTCTGTTAACTGTTTTTGTTCTTTTTGGCAATCCTTGCAGACATTCACTGGTTCAACATTTTCGGACATGGTCTCAGTCAAGTGCTTGGTAATAAATCTATTTCCTTTTGCTCATATACACTGTTAAGATTAAATGGAATTATTTACTGAATATCACACACTACTATAAAGGGCATGGATTAGAATAAATACCTGTTAGAACACAAATAGAAGTTTCGAGAAAACCAAAATGATCGGTCAGAAGAGATTTCATTCTTTTCACATCATTTGTTGTTCCCTTGAGCTTGTGCTTCTTCTTTTGGTAACTGACTCCGCAAAGAACTGCCCGCTTTGGTAGATGTACACCGATGTTATTAGTCATAGGATTTAGCTTTTGATCAGGCTTTGGCAATGCAGCATGCAGGCTTTTGTTTTCTTGCAATCTTGTTTTCCAACAAAAGGATAAATGCCCCTTGGGGACGGTTTCACATGCTTCGGTTGAAATCAGAGATTCACAAGATTGGCATACAGTGTTTTTGGAGTCCGGTGTTTCCAAAATCTTGTTGTGGCAGCTACCACATGAAATTTCTCTAGTGTTCATTGTTTTTGGTTTCGTTTGTAAGGCAACGAGGCAGAGCAACAAAGATTTATGACGCCAACACGGTGAGGTATAATAGAATTTTACAAAATCCAACCCACCGAGGAGCTACTAAAATGGGATTTTACTAGTGAGCTGTTTTAAATTTTGTTCAACAAACTTTTTCTGCTATTTTTAAGTTTTATTCTATAGCACTATATAAAGTATGAAGAACTAGATACCCTATGTTTAATTAATTAATTTATTTTTATTTTTAAGAGTGTTCACATTGGCAATTGATCTTTGGATATTAAGCAGATCATTTTAAGCACCATTTTGGTAATGAATGTCAAAAAAGTGAACATAAAATATCTTTTTCCCAGGAAAATTGCTAAAGACAATCCCACTTCATAGAATCTGATCATTTTTCCTTAATCATATTCTTGCTCAGTTGTTAAAGTCCAATGACAGTGCTTTGAATATCATGACCAGTATGCTTGATGTCGGCATTATGTTTTGTAGTCTGTAGACTGTTGGATTGGGAAGATTAGCCAGACCTATCTATCCCCTTTATGTAGCCTCATCCTCATGCATAGTTTGTTTTTTCCCGGAAAATGTGCTTATCCATATAGCTTTTTCTCAGTGCTCTTTGATTCTGCAAGTCATTGATTTGTTTTGAAGACTAATTAGCATTTTCACAAGCAGTGATCAAACCTAGACATTAAAAAATGAAAAATGATATACAAGTCAACTTTTTGGGTCCAGTTTCTAGACCCAGTCACGTGTCAAGAATATGATTGATTGATAATTAGAGAATATTTAATTATCGATCAATTATTTTCTTAAGACATCACTAGGTCTAAAAAGTGGATCTAAGTTTTGGACCTGAATAGCAATACTTTTGACAAATTAATTACAATGTTGAAATAAATCCATGGAAAAGGAATCTATATGAGAGTAGTGTAGTCGAAAGCCATTTGGGTCTGCAATGTCTATATATTCTACCAGCAATAATGTAAAGTGTGAGAAGAACATAAAAGAACCTGATGCTCCACTGTTGTTTATGTCCTGTACACACATGTACAGGTAGAAACATGTACGAAATGAAGAAATAAAATAAATAAATAAATAAGAAGAAAAGTGGTGCTTTTCTCACTCTCTATTTTTGGGTTGATTGATCCCCATCCGTTCTCAAGAAAATTGCTACTGTATAACCGTTGTAAGTTGATTCAAACTCTTTGAAGAAATTTGATCGCTAACAATGGAAGTCAAGTTCACAATTAGAAGACAACTCTATTAAATTAGAGCTTGAGGAAGGTACAGTTTTAGAAAAGACTGTTTACAGCCTCTGTTTGGCTTGCGAAAATGATGGCCCAAAAGATTAAAAAAAAAAGTGATCACAAATCAAGAATAGAATACAAATTAGAGCATCCAAACTTAAAGAACAAATGCTATATATTAACCAGTTCATTAGAAACAAAAAAGTTGATCCTACATATAAATTTTTCTTGTTTCTCTATTTCAAAGTCTCTTTTCACCACACGATTTCTTCACATGAAAGGTCTATTACTCACATGTATCAGAGAACTTTTTCCTTGGAATCAAACTGCATGTTCACATTTTACACATTGCACAAACAATTGTGTTTAAATTACTTGGTTCCAACCAGTACAGAGAATTGATGATTGATTTTTTATGTTGAAGCTAGCCAAGGATCCTCTACAAATTCATTTAATAACACAAAAGTCAATTTTCAAAACAAAAACCCAAGTATTTCTACCGTATCCAGTATAACTGACCGTAGGAGACAATGCAACATAAATAGATAAATATCTCATAAAACAGGGAACTTTATACAAGAAAATTTCATTCATAAAACAAAATTCTGGATCTACATATTTCCACTAGGTACTCTAATCTCCAGCAAGAAGTCAACCACAGACATTGATAGATACATCGATACATAAATGGCAAATTTCATGTCTTGCTGCAAAGATGTAGCTGCATTCTCATGATGGTATAAATGGTGAAAGAACAGTTCTTGCCACTAGGTTTACTGCATCCTCCAGAATCCTCGTTTGTGCCGTCTATAGTACAAGCATTCTTCTGCAAAAGTGTACAAGCCAACAAAGCAGTAAGAATCAACATATCAAATTTTGGAGTATTGCCATATTCCTGCCCAGGTGATGCTCAGGCCATAGGGTCTAGAGGTTATATGGGCCATATGAAGATATAGGTTCATTTCATGTACCAATTTTGCACTCATCGACAGGTCCAGAACAACAAACCAATAATGTTAAGCTTGGAAGAAGGTTTCAACAATCTATGGAAAATTCACAATGAAAGGAAAAACAAGATCTACACAAAAGCCTTACGAAGATTCCTACCTTCTTCCTCAGGACTCTATATTTATACTCTTTGTAGAGACGACCCTGCTTGATTGGCACTCGAGGCTTGGTTTGGTTTGTCTCCTTTGCTTACAAATTCAATTGACTCTTAACAGAAAATACAAGCTAACCAACCTTGCCAGCTCAGTATCCGTCTAACACCCTAACTGATATAACTGCCAGCTCAGCTAACTACTCAGCTAGAGATCTTTTACTCGGGCATTTCTCCTTTCTTTGTATCAAATAAACTACATGTTCTGAATTTATCAGAGAATTTTAAGATATTTGACTTCACATATAGTGAAGGGAAAGAAAGACTTTGTAAAAATAAAATAATATACACATGCATACAGGGTTTATGTTAGTGACATTTGCAATGATAATGACCAATGTTGCTACTATGCTACCACTGCTAAACACTGGTTCAGCATAACAGTGACCAATCAATATGTTGGGAATTCAGAAGTAAATGTTACAATGACTTGCACAAGTTACTATCAGTATATCTATGGAGATACAATCAGTCCAAGCCCCAATTCATAACAAGCTAATAATCAATTACTTAGAAGGTTCAAAATTTACCCACCTGACAGGACTTGAGCTACAAAGTAATAGGGGAGGAGCAACATTGATTAACGATGAGAATTCATGGACAAACCACTGTCCAGTACGTTGAGCTGCCCAGATATTTTGGCTTTGCAGGTCGGACACATAAAACCAACAGAATCTGATTGAGTTTCGGAGTCAACAGCCTCATGGTTGAACTCTGTTCTGCACCATACACACACAGTTGTAAACTGAAGTCTGCCAGCAATGTTTAACATGACAGCCTCTGTTTCAAATCCAGCAGAAGAATTGAACCCCTCTTCCATTCCTTCATCATTTGCCAGATTCATGGTTACCTCAGGCAGAGATGGTGAATCTTGCCCATTCACAAAATTGAATTTTAGGGGTTCTATTTCATCCAACCTCAGATCATCAAAGGCAGTTACATTGTCAAGCTTCTGATCAACTGTGCAGAATTCATTTTCTCCCTGTCAATATACACAACAAAATAACAATTAATTCCTCAGAAATAAAACAGAAAAAGGAGATATGTCCTACTACCATATTTCTAGAAAGTATCAATAAATGACTAGGTCTTTACCTGAAATGGTATAAGTTTGCTTACATAAAGTACAAAAGCTATAAGCAAAAATAAATAAATGAAGGGTAAATTACATTTACCTCCCTTGAGGTTTCTAACAAATACAGGGACCTCCCCTGTGATTTCAATAATTACAGTAACCTCCCTTATTTTACCTGACAATATCAAGATTCCCTCATTCCGTCTATTTTGCACAAACGATGTTTGTAGCCTATACAAAATGACTATATTACCCTTGCTTTTGCCTACGAAAAGGCAAAAATGCCCTTGGAAGAGAAATCAATCTAATAAGAGCTTTCACTCATCAAATCTGCCAAAGAAGCCGAATCCTTCAAGTCCGACTGCACCGATCTCGCTAAGCAAGCCGACCTCCTCTCACTCAAGCTCTGATCCGCCATTTGCCTCACCACCATGACCACGACCATGGCCCAATCGTTTCTTTACGAGCGCCCCATCCGCTGCATAGCCCCCGATATCTCCAAAACCTTAGAACAAGCCCTAACCTTATTCCGCAAGTGCAAGCAGAGTGGCGTTCTCTGGCAGGTGTTTGCCATCACCACCAGTGCCAACTTCCACAAGGTCTCCAGCCTTCTAGAATCGTCCATCGCTGACATTAGCTAGCTTCTCTCCATCGCCAGCAACGACCCATCCTGGTCATGCTCTGGTCCTCTATCGCCTCCGTCCAAATGGGATGCCTCCTCCATGACCGCCAACAACCCGGCCTCCCTCACCCGCAACAATGATCGTAACAAGAAGATGATGGTTGAAGAAGGTAGAGTTGTACCCTTGCTGAAGGTTGTTGAATTTCCCCTAATGCTCAAATGGCTGCCTACATTGTTTTTTTCAACTTCGTTAATGATTAGGACACAGGGTTCGATCCATCGCTCGCGAACTAGCTGTACCCTTAATTGTTAAGGTTTACATTTAAAATGTTTGTGAATTTTGTGATTCCAATAAGAACAGAGATATATATAATTACAATATACAAAGGTATTATGTAAGGCTTTTGGGGGGATAGTAGATTCTGAAACTGAAAACAGAGCATAAGAAAAATTGCAGATTTTCCAGGAAAATTTAGAAAAGGAAAAATTGAAAAGGAAATGAAAAAGAAAATCTACATAGAAATGAAAGGAGAAGATTGTGTATATATTGATATATAGTGAGACAGAGAAAACAACTCTTTGTCTCTTTGCCTTTCTCTCTCTCTCTCTCTCTCTCTCTCTCTGCCTTGCTCTCTCGCTGGAGCTAGCTGTACGCTTAATTGTTAACGTTTACATTTAAAATGTTTGTGAATTTTGTGATTCCAATAAGAACAGAGGTATATATAATTACAATATACAAGGGTATTATGTAAGGTTTTGGGGGGATAGTAGATTCTGAAACTGAAAACAAAGCAGTGTGAAGATTAGGGAAAATTGCAGATTTTCCAAGAAAATTTAGAAAAGGAAAAATTGAAAAGGAAATGAAAAAGAAAATCTATAGAAATGAAAGGAGAAGATTGTGTATATATTGATATACAGTGAGACAGAGAAAACAACTCTTCGTCTCTTTGCCTTTCTCTCCCTCTCTCTCTCTCTGCCTTGCTCTCTCGCTGGCTTCTTCATCTTCTCCACATAGATCAACCTTCTTCACGTTGCTTATTATCGTCTCTCTCTCTTCTTTCTCTCAAGAATTTAATGTGTATTGTGAATGTAGCTGATTAGGGATTTTGTGAGCAAAGGGCATTTTCATTTTTTCACAGGCAAAAGGAAGAGCAATATGGTCATTTTGTATAGGCTATTAACGCCGTTTGTGCAAAATAGACGGAATGAGGGAATCTTAACACTGTCAGGTAAAGTAAGGGAGGTTACTGTAATTATTGAAATCACAGGACAGGTACATTTATATAATTACAATTGCTGTAACATTGTCAGGTTACCTCCTGACTGTATTTGTCAGGAGGTAAATGTAATTTACCCATAAATAAATAAATAAATAAAAATCGAGCCTTTACTTCCCATCCAAGTACATTTACAACTTTCCATTTTGAAAATGCTCAGGATATGCAACTCAAGAAGAACAAAACACTAAATCCTTCGTTCTGATTTTTATTGATAGGCCAGTGAGGTCAAGATTACTATCTAATACAGAAACAAGTATTTGAGCTTTCTAGTCTCTTAGGTAGTTTGGAGAATCACCAAAGGACAAGGACACTAGCCCAGGGAAGACACAAATAACAATTATTACATTGTTATATCTAAATATGCTCAACATTTGAACTCTTTACAGCCACATAATTTATACAGCTCAGAATTATACCTTATTCGAGATGGTAGTCAACAAGGGAAAGCAGGGCAGTGATTGCACCACTGGCATTGAAGAGTCAGCAACCCCACTCTGACAAACATTTTCTTCAACAATTTGACCTGAAGTCCCTGTTACTACATCATGAATTGTTGTAAGTTGGCTATTTCCAAAACCAATTTCTTGCTCACTGTTTCCATGCTTTTCCACTTGATCGAATTTTGGATGGTCAGAAGGGTCGGTGCAAACCACAGCCAAATTATTCTCAACATGAGAAACATGATCACTGTTCACCCTTTTGTTATCAGTCATTATGTACTCGCCATCATGCTGGTTAAAACTTAGATCTGGAGCTCTCGTAGTCATGCAATCTTCATTTTCCAGTTCATTAGGACCAGAATCTGAGCTCAATTTATGGTCAGAATTTGCAGCATGGGTTTCTGGAACAGTTACCACTTTCAGTGTATTAGGAGAGGAACCACCATTGGTTTGATCATGCAGTGGGAGTTTCTAAAATAGAACTTTGTGCAATTTGAATCAAAGCATCCATTTTAGTGATCCTTGGTGGCAACTCATCCGGAGATGGAGATGGAGATGGAGATTCAGTGCACTTCAGAAGAGCAGCCTGACCTGGCAATTCTTCAGAACTTCTGACACAGTTTCTTACGTGGATTCCCACATGACCATTGTAACTCCGCCTTTCCTGAAATACCTTGTGACAAATCTGGCATTCATACTTTCCGTCTTTAATTATCACACCTTCCCCGATGGATGAACCAAGTCTATACCTCCTAGTAGTCCTCTGGTGAACTGACATCAGATGCTTTAAATATGTATTCTTTTCATCGAAGGACAAATTGCATTTGTAACACTCAAAAAGATCCCGTACTTCAACATCGGGCAGATTGTCAATCTCCATTAAGCTAATTTCCATCTCCTGTACATTAGGAATGGATGAACTGGGTAACATTGAATTGGGAATAGTGTCTTGCTTTAAATCATCATTCTGGCGAACAAAACCTGCATGCTGTTGCAGATCCCATGATTCTAATTGCACAAAATTCTAATAGGACCAAACTGCCAAGACATAATTTACTTACATTTTCAGAAGCCAATCCAAAGACCTGCTGATTGTTGCCCCCCATCTGATTCGATGGCTGACTAGCATCATTAAGTCCAAAATAAGACTGCAAATATGAAGCCGCCTCTTTGCACGATACAAACTGTTGTCCACTAGGGCTGAAAAATACCAGGTAAAGAACAATATTTCAGGCCCAGCAATCAAAGGAGATAGAAGGAAGGCATGGGGGGAGCATGTGAGAGTACAACAATGCATAACAGCACAGCCAATATGCACAAAACAATATTCAAGGAAGCAAATCAGTTATAATGAAACCAAGTCTAATATTTGAAGAAATCATTCCCATTGTGAAATAAGAGATTAGAAACACACTAGAATTTGGGCCCACGCAATGCATGGCGGTTCATTTTGCTCCTCTTTTATTTTTGCAAAACTTCATAATATGAACTTTAATTTCAGTTCAAATTGAGATGTGGTTAAGGTAGGCTGTTGAAATCATCAGGAGTTTTCTATGAACGTGGGTTATGGGTTGATATTTTTCATTTAAAAAAAAAAAACAGACATAGGAGCCATCTTATGGCATGGCCGCATGGGGTTATTGGATAAAAAAGTAGTGTGACTAAGCTACAAAAATGTGTTCACACCAAATAGGTTGTTCACATTATATAACAGTATAAATGACGCAAACTTTGGGTAGCTCCTTCACAATTGCATTTTCTCAGCAATTGATATAAACAATCCTGCTCTAGAAGAATGCCAACACTAAAATAGTCCAAGAATTAAATCTTTAAGAACTTTTACTCTTGGTTGAAATACGCACCCATCTACCGACAACACGAAGTGCGTTTTGATTTCTAAGACCAGCAATTGCAACAAATGTAAACATTTCTATAGGATAGGAACCAACCAGAGAAGATTAGCTAAAATTACTTAAAAGAGTCATACACAGTGCACACAGCTACCCAATATATCAGTCTGAGTTTAACAATAAGATAACTAAATACATGTGCTTTAAACATGCTCTTTTTCTTTTTTGATGGGATTTTTCATACAGTTTCTGAGTAACATCACATGATTATATAATAATTCGAATTGATTATAGCATACCAAAACATATATATAATTGTGTTGTGTGTGCATTACATATATATATATATACATATATATATGTGTGTGTGTGAAGCTACCAGTGCAAATTATGAAGAGAAGACCACCTTATGTATCTGCGGCAGTAGACGGAAACCTGGCCTTCTCTTCTCTTGAGGCCAAGCAAAAGCTTCCAACCGATCGGCAACGAGTCACCGAACTCACTGGCATCAACAATTTTTCTCTTCTTCCTCCTACTACCCCACTGTCCCTCAAAGTTCCTCAAAAACCCCAAAACCTCCTCTTCCTTCTCCAACCCAACAGTTCTCCTCCTCAATTCCGCTCCATACAACTCATCCCCATTTTCCAGTGCCCTAAAATCAACCACCACTCCATTCTTATTCACAATCTCCAATTCAATCTCACCCCCGTTCTCCATATCCTTCGGCTTCGGTTTCCGCCCTCTCTTCCTCTTCATCTCACCCGAATACACCACAATTTGCATGTCCGGCGGCGGAGGAACCGACTCGGGGTCGCCGGAAACAACCGATTGGGGCGGCGGCGCGAGTAGAAATCTGTCTGAATTTTCGATTTTATTGGCGGTGGTGATGAGTTGTTTGAGGAAATTGACAATGGATTTGTTCTCGGCGTGTTCGGGGTCGTCGGGGCCGAGGGAGGGAGGGGGTCTAGGGTTGGGGAGGAGGCCGGGGAGGCGGCTGCGGTGGACTGCGGCGGCGGAGGAAGAGGAGGAGGAGTCGAGGCGGAGGCGGGAGTAGGTCTGGCGGCGGCTGCCGGCGCTCTCGTTGAAGACGGTGCGGTCAATTTGGGGGGAGATAATGTCGTCGGTGCGGCGGAGATCGAATGCGGCGGAGGAGCAGAGGGATAGGGCATGGAGTTCCGACTGGCTAAGTTTGCTTATGTCGATGTGAGTTAGGGATTCTAGCTTGGGCCCACAAGGTGGTGGTGGTGGTGGTGTTTCAGTGGTGATGGTGGTGGGTACGGTCACCATTTTCTGGGTGTTGTGCGGCGGCGGCGGTGGCTGTGAAGAGTAGAGTAGAGTAGAGCATATATATATATATGTAGAGAGAGAGAGAGAGAGAGAGAGAGAGGTGGCAGCGGGCAAGAGATGCACAGGTGGTCCTTTTGTCTGTCTGAGCAAGGGAATATGTGGAAATGTTGGGGACTAGGAATTTTGTTTTATTTATTTTATTTATTTATTTATTTTCAGCATTTTATGAGTTTTTGTTTTGTCCGTGAGTTATCCATTTCAATTTTAAATTCTAAATTTTTAACAATGGCTCACATTCCTACCAGTTACGTGAATTTTATCTTAAAATATTATTAAAAATATTATTTTTTATTTTAAAAATTACTTTTTTATTGCTTTTAAATTTAAATATTTTTGCAACTCTGCAATTTTAGGCAATGGGCTCCTACTAAAATTGTGAAATTTTTGAAACAACAAAGTCATTAATTTCAGTTGAGGCAATGGGATAGCCACTAAAATTGTAGAATTTTTCAAACAACAACAGTCATTTTTTCAATAGTTTATCGGTCATGTTTTTTAAATTATATAAATAGCACTATTTGCTCTCCCCATTTCAATTTGAAGTCAATTTCTTTCGAATTCATTCTCTAAATTTTTTCTATGGCTTGTAATCGTGTAATAAATATGATTACTAATGATGAAGACTCTTATGATCAATTAGAGATATATACAGTGGTTGCAATGGAAGAAGAACAACTTTAGAGACAATCAAGCTCACGTGGTGGTTCAGTTGAAGGCCGCAAATGTATTCGATGTGATTTTGGTCAAGGCCATGAAAGGCTTTCTAGACTATTTTGCTGAATTACTTGTATATCCCTCCAATTTATTTCTGAGGAGATTTCGGATGCGCCGCTCTCTTTTTCTCCAAATTCAAGTAGCAGTAGAAACACATCATCTACACTTCGTCCAAAAAAAGAAATGCTGCTAGAATGCTCGGTTTATCTTCTCTTCAAAAAATGACTGCTGCACTTAGGATGCTTGCTTATGGAATAACGGCTGATTATATGGATGAATATCTGAGAATCGAAGAAAGCACCGCATTGAAGAGTTTGAAAAAGTTTGTTAAAGCTATTGTTGTAATTTATTCTGATAAGTACTTAAGGTCACCAAACAACGATGATATTTCTAGATTGCTAGCAGTTGGTGAAAGTCGCGATTTTCCTAGAATGTTGGGGAGTATAGATTGTATGTACTGGAAATGGAAAAATTGTCTGACTGCATTAAGCGGAATGTATACTGGTCATATACATGAACCAACAATTATTTTGGAAGTAGTGGTGTCGTATGATCTTTGGATATGGCATGCATTTTTTGGGTTACTAGGATCTCATAATGGCATCAATGTTCTAGAACAATCTCCTGTATTGTCACAACCTAAACCGCCCCTATAAGTTTAGTGTCGTAACCGGCCAGTATTCCTTGGATTACCAAAGGCCTCTTAACAGAACAACATATAATTAGGGGCTGTAGAAGCAAATAGATAAAATAGACATAGTCCATAGAGTTGTGTTGACGTATATGAGACAGTAATCTTCAAAACAAACTTACGTATATACTTGTGACGTCACAAACACATAAGTCATACATCATTCATTTACACAAGTATAGCCAAATGGGGACTTAGCCCAAAGTACGAATGAGCAAAACAAACAAAAATATCTGCAGCGAGGTTACAAAATGGGACATCACAAAAAAGGAACCTCCCCGGGAGGCACAGTGGCTGATAACCCAAGACTCCAGGTAGCAGCTTAGACCTAGTCACGTGCCTGCTCATTTACATATATAATATAAATAGTGATCGGAAGCCCAGTGAATAATAACAAGGTAAAGGGTTTTAATGAATCATGTCCATCACAGAGTTAGAACTCAGAGTTTATATCAGAAACGGATCCTTTTCAGAAACAGATTTACATTCTTTCCAGAATCGTTAGCAAGTATTTGTGGTACATCCATTTAGCTATCATGACATATCACATTTTGCATAGTCGGTATCGACAACCATAAGGGTTCATATCTTGCGTGCAAGTAACCATGGTATTGTTACCCCCAGGCGAGGGCCACGTGAATATAGGCCTCAGTATTGTTATCCCTAGGGAAGGGCCACGTGAATATAAACCACGATATTGTTACCCCCGGGTGAGGGTCACGTGAACTAAGGATGCCACAAATACATTTTTAAAAAAATAGACATTCATTCATGATTCACAAATAGCATTCCAAATAGCAGTTCAGAAAACAAATCTTATTACTTCATACAGAAAATAAGTAAAGTTGAACATAACTTTACTAAGTTATTACTCACAATTAACAGATAGCTTCAAGGCAAACAGGCAGAATGGGCCAATCAGACTTCTTGTGGCACGTAACCTACACAGTTACAGAATGAACACGTATTGAATTACACACCCGAAAACATTAACTTAATTCTTTTTCATCTTGGTGTGTTTCTACTTGTTATCCTCATTATGGTGCCTTAATCTTGGCCTAAGAATGCTTAGGATGCAATGAGGATGCTAAAATACACTTGAAAACACTTAACAAAAATTGTTGAAAACAGGGGTCTCACTCGAGCGCAGCTTTCTTCGCTCGAGTGGACATGCAAAATGCGAGTGGTCGCTCGAGCGCACATTCCTTCGCTCAAGCGGTCTGTAAACTTTGCAAAAGTGCTAGTTGCTTGATTTTTTTGCTCGATGCTCATTCGACGCTTGCTCAAGCGTGAGACTCATGCCCTCGCTCGAGCGCAACTTTTGTCGCTCGAGCGGACTCATGGTCGCTCGAGCGAAAGTGCAAAAATAAAGGTGGTCGCTCGAACGCAGGATTTGTCGCTCGAGCATAGAAGTAGAATTCTGGAATTTTCAAAATTACTTCCAAGCTTCAAATTCAACCCCAAAGCTATAAATTATGGTTTCTTAGTCCAAAAACTTAAGGAAACTCTTGTAAACTTGCAAAACATCATGAAGTAAGAATCATTACTCAAAATCAAGGCCCAGAAGCAAGTGGATTCTTTAAATTTAAACTTGAATTATGAGTACACGCACCATGCATGTATTGACTTGGGCTCAAAATTTCCAAAACATAGTCAAATGAGATAAAAGGATGTAAAACATGATGAATTCCTACAACTAAGCTCAATTTATTACATGCATAAGAGAATTTCTTAGAAAACATGCTCCAAATGCAATGCACATGCATGTATGAATTGATCTTCCTTTCCATTTCTCAAGCTTAATTCTTGCATCTCTTAGCTCAATTCTCTTGAATTCATGTATGAACCAATTCAATTACAAAATTAAAGGTTTGATTTCTTACCTTAGGTGTTCAATTAGGTCTAAGATGCTTAATTCTTTAAGTTAGGAGGTCAAATTTTCAAAGTTCCTCCCAAATGCTAGTTTCCTTCCCTTGAATTTAAACTTCTCTTCACTCCTTCTTTTCTCCCTCACGTTTTTGTCTAAAAAATGATCAAGAAAAGATGAGTCTAGGTGGTGTGGAGGCCTTATACAGGCTCAACTAATGAAGTTTAATTAGTTTGAGTCAAAGATAACTAAGTGAGATTATTTTATTCTATTTTATTCTTTCCGAATCGAATTTCAATTGAACCTATCATAAAATTCTAAAAATTCTAAATAACATGTATACCAAGTCAATTTCTGAATTAGATGCCGATAAGGCCTTCAATTCACAAACCGAGACGAAGACGAAAACGGAAACAGATATTTCTACGTTAAATAGATATAAACACAAATAAAGCAACACACACATGCAATTTAATTCAGAATTTCTCTTAATTACTGATTAAGCTTATTTAACCACGTATTAACGTAAATCGAAGGTCGGGGTTGTTACAGTCTTTCCCGCTTAAAGAGTTTGGTCCTCCAAACTCGAATTACCTTCGTTTTGGAAAAACACCGGGTCCAGAGGGAACAAATCTGGGTATCTATTCATCATATCCTCTTCTGTCTCCCAAGTTACATAGGTCTCTCCATGGTTTTGTCAGTCAACTTTCACTAAGGGAATTTCCTTGTTTCTCAATCTTTTGATTCAGCGGTTAACGATCTGTATTGGCCTCTCTTCGTACGTATAATCATCTTTCAGAAGTACATAAGTCGGTTCTATCACATGGAGTGGGTCTCGTAAGTAATCTCGAAGCATTGAAACATGAAAAACGTTGTGCATATGCTCCATCACCGGAGGTAAGGCTATCCGGTACATTACTGAATTGATCTTCTCGAGAATTTCATATGGCCCAACATATCTTTGTGCCAACTTGCCTTTCACCCCAAATCGCTTGTGACTTTTCATTGGAGTTACTTTTATGAACACATGATCACTAACTTCATATTTCCTATCTCTTCTCCGAGCATCCGCATAACTCTTTTGATGGCTCTGTGCAGTTTTTAGGCATTGTTGAATCAGTTTCACTTTCTCAGTTGTTTCTTGCATAAGTTCTGGTCCCAACAACGGTCTATCACCTACCTCAACCCAACAGATCGGAGATCGGCATTTTCTACCATACAAAGTTTCGTAAAGAGCCATACCGATACTTGAATGGTAATTGTTATTTTACACAAACTCAGCCAACGGTAAGTAGGTTTCCTAACTGCCTGGAAAGTCTAGAACACACATCCGTAACAAGTTTTCCAATGTTTTAATGGTTTGTTTAGATTGGCCATCTGTCTGTAGATGATAAGCACTATTTAGTCTCAATTCAGTTCCCAGAGCTTGCTGTAGACTATACCAGAATCTTGAAGTGAACTTAGGATCTCTGTCAAATACAATAGATACTGGCACGCCATGCAATCTCACAATCTCATTAACATACAAGTTAGCCAACTTATCCGCATTATACAACGATTTAACAGGTAAAAAATGAGTGGATTTAGTTAAACGATCAGCAATTACTCAGGCAGAATCCATACCTCGAGGAGAGCGAGGTAATCCCACAATGAAGTCTATAGTAATATGTTCCCACGTCCATTCCGGTATTGTTAGCAGTTGTAGTAATCCAGCGGGTCCTTGATGTTCAGCTTTAACTTGTTGGCAATGTAAGCATCTAGCCACAAAGTCTACAATATACTTTTTCATTCTAGGCCACCAGAAATTCTGTTGCGCGTCATGATACATCTTTGTATTCCCCGGATGCATAGCAAATTTGGAGTTATGGACTTCAGTCATAAGGCGTTTCGTCAAGTCAAAACAGTCTGGTACATAAAGGCGACCTTGAAATTTCAATACATTATTCTCAAGTACAAACCCAGGCCTTGGCTTTGAGTCAATTTCATCCACAATCTTTTTTAGGAATGAATCTTGCAGTTGCTTGTCTCTTATCTCCTCAATAATTACGGGTTGGGCAGTTATAACAGCTAGAATTCCACCATGTTCATGCAAAACCATTTCAATCTCATTTTTTTCCAAGTCACATAGCAATTCATTCTGACTGGTGAGCAAATATGATAAATTCCCAATGTATTTTCGGCTCAACACATTCGCAATGGTATTTTCCTTTCCTGAATGATACAGAATTTGTAAATCGTAGTCTTTGATCAATTCTAGCCACCTTCTTTGTCTCATATTCAGTTCTTTTTGGGTCAAGAAGTATCTTAAGCTTTTATGGTCAGTATACACTTCACGAGGTACTCCGTATAGATAATAGCGCCAAATTTTCAAAGCAAAAACCACAGCTGCCAGTTCAAAATCATGAGTCGGGTAATTCTTTTCATGTGGTCGGAGTTGCCGGGAAGCATAGGCAATCACCTTACCATTTTGCATTAATACACAACCCAAACCTTTGTAGGATGCATCACTGTAAATCTAAAACCCATCAGTGCCATTAGGTAAAGTCAAAATCAGTGTAGTCACTAATCTGGTTTTCAACTCTTGAAAAGCTGATTCATGCTGATCATTCCAATTAAATGATACATTTCTGTGTCAAAGGCATGGCAAGTTTTGAGAAATCTTTCACAAATCTTCTGTAATAACCAACAAGCCCTAGAAAACTTCTAACTTCTGACACGTTGGTTGGTCTTGGCCAGTCGACAATGGTTTCAATTTTCAGTGGGCCTACTGATACACCATCATTGTTGATCACATGTCCCAGAAATGCTACACTGTTAAGCCTGAATTCACATTTGGACAATTTGGCATATAACTTATTCTCTCTCAAAATCTATAAAGCAGTTCTCAAATGACTCTCATGCTCTTCCTAGCTTTTGGAGTAAATCAGAATGTCCTCAATAAACACAACTATAAACTCATCTAGAAATTGTTTAAAAACCCTATTCATCAGGTCCATAAAGGTTGCGGGTGCATTTGTTACCCTAAATGGCATGACTAAAAATTCATAGTGCCCATATCGAGTTTTAAATGTTGTTTTCTCTACATCTTCTACCTTGAC